AGAAGAAAAGATAAATGCAGAACAAGGTACTGATTCAAGGGTGAAGAAAACCTAGATGTAGAACAAGGTACTGATTCAAGGGTGGAAGAAAACTCAGATGCAGAACAAGGTACTGAATCAAGGATGGAGGAAGGGATTATTAATACAAAGGATTGGTTGAATGATGGTTCATCGAAGGAGTTGATGAAATTCCACCTGAGGGAAAAGGATACTGGTTTCCTGATCGCCCTGTATTTGGGTGTGAGTCCGAAACGACGCCTATACGGCCAGTATGTGACGGCGCTTCCTGTCGAGGACGCAGCGGACTATCCCTTGAGGCGATAATTAAAAAAGATACCCAATCTACTGAGGAGAATCCCGGAAATAGGGATAAAACTTCGGAAAAATAAGTACGGAGTTTTGGCCGACGTGAGGAGATATTTCCAGGTGATGGCCATCAGGGAAAATGATTGGGACTACCTCCGATTTCTTTGGCGGAAGAAGATGGACGCTTATGGGGCAACCTCCGGTGGTGTGTATGGAGAGGGTGCCGCAGTGTGCCGAGGAGAGGATGGTTTTCCTGGATGAGAGCCTGGGCTCCCTGCAACGGTGTCCCACCTGCCTGGATCCCCCATCACGGTGGAACGGAATTTTTTTCTTTTTACAAAAAAGAAAGGTGGGGGTGTGTTAAAAGTCGTGACATGGTATGTAAATATCTTTTTGAATGTATGACTGGAAATGTAGATTTTCTATTTAATGTATGGATTATTATTATTATGTAAATTTCCTTGAATGTATATAACTAAGCCGTGTTGTTGAAATAAAGAGTTTCTTAGTAGAGCGAGAGCTTTACGTGTGTAGCCGCTGGGTTTTTGTTCTACGGTATTTTCTTTCTCGCTTGATCACCCGAAACAGTCCAAATAATATCAAGACTTTGGGTAAAAGTCTTACTTGTTAAGAGGAGGTTTCTTCAATCTGACCTCGCGTACCTTAACAATAATATAGTGTACAGTAGAACCTCCATGAGAGGACACATTTGTATAAAGGCCAGTTTTTATTTGCAAAATTACCATTTTTTACTATTTACCTTCTCTCGAGTAAGAAGACACTTCTCCCCTAAAGAACACTTTATTCTTAAATTAGGTGTTCTTTACAATAAGGACATACTGTATATGTAAATATAAATCTCTCTATATAAAAGTAAATGTATATATGTATATATGCTTGTCAGCTATGCACTTTCTCAACACTTAATTAATCTGCCTGAAATCTTAACAGTATATAAAGTTAAGACTGGAAGAGATTTTTGTCATATTCCCAACCAAGAAAATAAAATTGACCAAATACTGAAATTATACATAATTTAAGTAAAAAATATATATAAAAAAATTGTTGTGTAATTTTAATAGGCATCAACAAGGTTTTCTCTGCGAAACATTCACACGAGCAGCATATACAAATAAGAAAAACGATTTTAAAAACCTCACTTTTTTCCATTTAAACTTCTGATAAAAATTTAATGAGGACAACAAGTAGGTGTATATATGAAGTTATAGCGTGAAATATAAGCTAATAAAAACTTATTCAAATAAAAACCAATAACTAATTTACATTTTTTGTGGGAAAAAAACATTAGCGATCTGGAATGAATCCGTCCCCATAATTTGAAAATAGTCAAATATCAGAGATCAACTTTATCAATTTGTTTTCATATTGCCTGATGTGTGCTAATATTAGTCCATATGTTTGTTAATAATGCATCCTATGAAAATTTCATCCAAGGGATATTATATCCGAAGAAAAATTCAAATTAACCAAGTGTATTAGTTTTTTTTATTTCAAAACGCTAGCTTTCAAGCGAAAATCGCTCTTCAAGGGTCTTAATAAAACATCGACTATATCCTACAAGAAATATTTACAAAAACATACATGCGCAGCGTGGATATTTACAACTGGAATTTAAATTGATATGTAATTTAAATGAAGAGCGATTTTCGCTTGAAAGCTAGCGTTTTGAAATAAAAAGAAACTCATTGTGGGAAAATATTTTGTTATTTTGAAGCGTTTTTTCACAATTTTATCATTAACAAGTGTATTAGACTAATTACCTATTATAAAGAATTGATAGATTCTGAAATATTGCTGTATCATGTTTGATAGCCAAAAACAAAAATTCTTTCAAGGAGGTTCTACTGTATAATGCATTATTATAATAAAACTAGAATAATAGCCTGTTCTACAAACAGGTGTAGTATGACAATCAGTTCCTGAGAATTATTAAATTTACAAAATTAATAAGCTAAAAATGAAGTACATAAATGTCTGTATATTTCTCTCTAAATAATATTTACTTCCCAAATGTATATTAATGGGAAACCCTGCACGATATAATGTTTAACATAATTATTTTATGTATATATTCCCAATTTATATGACTATATATTTAATCAAATATCCTCATTTTATTCAAGTTTATAAAAGAATATACAGTAGAAGCTCCTGGTAAAGGACAACGCCTAATTAAAGAGCTAAAGTGTCTTTAGGGAGAGGTGTCCTCTTACCAGAGAGTTGCTAGATAGTAGAAATGGTAACTTTGCAAATAAAAACTGTCCTTTGTAGAGATATGTCCTCTCATTGAGGTTCTACTATATATTAAAATGACTTTCCGAAATTTTCAACATACCAATTCACCATAAAAATTGAAAATTTTGAAAATATTTTTAAAAATGTGCCACTTATAAAATAAAAGAACCATGACCCATTTGATTGAAATAGCCATAAAACGCGAATTTAAATGGCAATTTCCAGGTTTTTAACTGAGGCGAATTTTTACTTCAATGTGTATGTATGAAATAAAATGCTGTTTTAAGTTAAATATTATTCGCTACAATTATATTTGGACACTGCTTCTCCCAGGTTCTCCTAGAGCAATTGTTTGACCTACAATGATGCATTAACAAATATTGTTTATTATGAATATATTTATTGAAACTAAATATTCAAAATAAAACACAAAAATGATGAGATAATAGAAATAATGATATGTTAATTTCAATCATGAAGTTTATTTTTTAGAGTTAAGGTGATATAATAATATAAATATAGAATTTGTCAAAATAATATTCGGCTGGCAAACATTTACTCGGGAAGAAGCTGGGTGAAGCCAGGCCAAGCAGTTATAGTGTATGATAATTATGAACATTAAAAAAACCCAAATTATGCAAAATTGTTTGTTATTTATCTAATTGTAGGTTTTGAACCAATAGCCTTCAAGTTCCACAAGTTCCAAAACACTAAATTAGGTACCGCTTGAAAAGACCAAACTAGTTTATGATAATTGCAACAATGAATAATATTTGAAGGTTATTCACATATTAAACAAATAGTTAATGAAGGATTCAATCCCGGTTCATTACAATAGGCTGCATCTTTTTTAGCTACTTTCAACTTAAAAAGGTTAATGTGCTTTTTTAAAAATATAAAACCAAAAAGTGTTAGTTGCAGCCTTTTACCGCTTGGGCGCAGCACTGGTCACGACGATAAATGAATTTGATTGGTTAATAATTTACACGTGGTTTGTTTACACGATGAATGTTAGTTTGTTTACACGATGAATGTTAATTTGTTTACAAATGAATGTTTTTAAAAGGTAAGATTATCCAGGAGACCCCGAGACATTTGGCCAGATCTGAAATATGACGTCACGATGACGTGCGATGTAAACAAAGGTTATGATTGATTCATTGTTTTTTTTAAAACAAGATTTAATTATTAATATTTTAAATACCTGTGATTAATTTATAGTGTCAAAATATTTATAAAGGACTTTTTATTTTTATAATTTTATATTAGCAATTTTTTAATTATGTTTTAGCGCCAACGTAAACAAAGAAATACTGGCGTAATACGTTCCCAATGGTGCCAACGGTGATATTTATAAATAGGCATATACAAAAAAATAAAAATTATAAAATTAATATTAATATAAATTACATTAGCCTAACCTAAACCTAACCTAACCTAATTGAACCTAACCTAAACGAACCTGAACCTAACCTTAAACGAACCTAACCTAAACGAACCTGAACCTAACCTTAAATGAACCTAATCCTGAACCTAACCTAAACGAACCTAAACCTAACCTTAAACGAACCCTAACCTAACCTAAATGAACCTGAACCTAACCTTAAACGAACCTAAACTAACCTGAACCTAACCTAACCTTAAACGAACCTAAACCTAACCTGAACAAACCTGAACCTAACCTAACTTAACGAACCTAAACCTAACTTAAACTAACCTAAATTAATTACGAAATTTTAATATTAATTAATAATTAATTTTATAATAATTTAAAATATCGGGGACACCCATTGCTTCACGGTATTAACATCGTGTGCATTCATAACACACACGTGTTTACAATGGCGATAAATATTTTCGAAAATATTTCTAATTTAAAATAGAAGGCCATTTAGACAAAAAATAAATATAGTGAAAATATAAAATAATCACAGATATATTTAAATATTAATAATTAACTATTGTTAAAAAAAAAAAACAATGAATCAATCATAACCTTTGTTTACATCGCGCGTCATCCTGACGTCAACGTGACGTCATATTTCAGATCTGGCCAAATGTCTCGGGGTCACCCGATTATCCAATCGCCCGTGAAACTTTAGAAAGTTATTTACTATACTACTGGAAGGATTTTGGTTTGAATTTGATCTATATATATAAATGAATGTATGTGGGTGTGTTCTGTCCTTTATGCCCTGACCAAACCACTCATTGGAACGCCATGAAACTTTGGGAAGTTATTAGTACTAGACGAATGGCCGGGCAACGCTCGGGTTTTTACCCGAGTGCGTATACTATTTTAAAAATGTTTTAATTAAAATACTATTCGTTACAATTATAAATTGGCCCGCCGTGGATGTCTCTCTTATGAAACGCCCCCGCCCCAAACTGTGTGTGTCTTGAAAATATAAAAATAAAAATGTGAACGGAAAAAATATGTCCAGGGTAGCCTAGTGGTCATGGCATCTGCCCGGTAAGCGGAGAAGGTCGTGGGTTCGATTCCCATCCCTTGACACTTTTTTTATTTTATCCATTCTGACCAAAATCTATCCGTGAACTTCACACAGACAGAATAAGGCAATTATATAAGTATAGATAATAATAATAATTATTATTATCATTAGATAATGATCATAATGATGATGCGCGCGTTGATGACCAAAATCTATCCGTGAACTTCAGACAGTGAACTTCACACAGACAGAATAAGGCAATTATATAAGTAGATAGATAATAATAATTATTATCATTAGATAATGATCATAATGATGATGCGCGCGTTGATGACCAAAATCTATCCGTGAACTTCAGACAGTGAACTTCACACAGACAGAATAAGGCAATTATATAAGTATAGAAGATAATAATAATAATTATATTATATCATTAGATAATGATAATTTATTTATGCTTATGAGGTGATACAGCAACGTCTTTACAATAAGAGAGGAGACAAAATGAATCAAATCCAGAAAAAAGAAGTGAGGACTTCTCGGTCATTAAAGTCTGAGAGGGCAAGGCCTTCAGCCAGTTCAGGGCTTCCGGGGTGACAGAGTGGAGATTGGAGATTCCTCCATTGAATTTGTACAGCGGGCAGTCATCTAGTATATGGGACATTGATTGTGGGACGTTGCAGCACAATTTGGATCTTTGGTGTAGCCCCATAACTTCATCAGCTCTGCACACCTTCCCTGTCCTGTCCTAAGCGGTTTAGAAGCACCCATTCTCGTCGAGGGAGGGAAAAAACCTGGGATCTTGACACTTGGGCTTGTGATGAGGTTCTTGTTTGGGATATCGGAGCTGATCCAGGAATTTGTCCATGCTTCTGAGATATTAAAATTTTGGGAGAGAAGTTGGTTTCCTCTGTACCATATCGGATTCCTTGATCTTAGTCTATGTTTTGGGGGAGACTAGGATTGGGTTAATTTCGAGGTCGGGTGAATCCAAGAGTTTTTAGGTACATTTTTCTTGGTGGCTTCCCTTTCTGCGTAGCTCAGGCGGAGAGATGTGAGCAAGAACTGGAAGCCAGTCGATTCTTGTAGGTTGGCAAACCCCTGTTATAATTCGCGCAAGGTAGAATTTAGTTGTGTGTCTATTAGCTTCGTGTGGCAGCTCCCCTCCCCATACTGGAGCACAATACTCAGCCGTGGAGAAGATCAATGCCAAGCAGAAGTACGCAGGGTGTTGGCATCACTGCCCCAGGAAGAGCCGGCCAGCTTATGGAGGATATTGTTACGTGATGATAGTTTCCCCTTTAACTTGGTGAGATGAGTTTTGAAGGTGAGAGTGCGGTCAAGATGAATGCCTAGGTATTTGGGATGTTCGCTATGAGTTATCTGAGAGTTATTGATACATAGTTTGAGTTTTCTTTCAGCTCTGTGATTGTTAAGATGGAAACAGCAATGTACAGATTTTGCAGGATTAAGCCCTCAGAGACCAGTTTTCAAAGTAATTATGTAGAGTTTCAAGATCTTTATTCAGTTGAATTTCCAGTTCCTCGAAAGTCTTTGCTTGGGCTAGAATGGCTGTATCATCTGCGTAAATAAATTTCTTTGAAGTTGTTTGGGGAATATCATGGGTGTACCAGTTATAAAGAAGTGGAGACAAGACTGATCCCTGTGGGAGGCCATTATATATAGTATATTCCCTTGCTAGATTTAGAGTTAAGGTATACTGTGAATTTCCTGGGTGAGAGAAGAGAAGACAAAAGATTGAGGGTCTGTTTGCATTTCAGCACTTTAGCAAGTTTATAAATCAAGCCATCAATCCACACTGTATCATATGCACTCGAAAGATCCAGGAGCACAACTGCAGATTTCATTCCCAGTTGGAAGCCATTTTCGATGAAGGATGTCAAGGATGCAACCCGATCGCAACAACTCCTGTTGCCTCTGAAACCCGCCTGTTCCACCGGGATTTCTGGGTCCAGAATGGGAGTAAGTCTGGCTAGAATGATTCTTTCCAGAAGCTTGTGGGTTGTACAGAGAAGCGCAATTGGACGAAAATTTGCTGAGCAGGTAGGTTCTTTGCCTGGTTTTAGGACGGCAAGGATTTTTGATTGTCTCCATTATTTTGGGATATTGCCGGTTTCCATTATTATTGTGAAAAATCGAGCCAGCCATGATTTAGCCCTTTTTCCCTTTTTCTTTCTTTTAGGAATTTTTACTTTAGAAACTGTTTGGAGATGTCTTGCTATCTGGTTGGGAGTTATGTTGGTTATGACGGAGTTGGTAGCTTCCGCATTTCCATAAGGAATTCCGCTGGTATTTCGTCATTGCTGCAGCTTTGTATTTTTGGTTAATTTGATTGCAGTTTCTATTTCCGTTATGTTGACTTGACTTGAGAGGTGGCCTTGAGTTATAGATTTTTGAAAATTCTTCTTTAATTCTTGCCTTCATGGCCTTTTTCTTTCTTTTAGGAATTTTTACTTTAGAAACTGTTTGGAGATGTCTTGCTATCTGGTTGGGAGTTATGTTGGTTATGACGGAGTTGGTAGCTTCCGCATTTCCAAGCTTTCTTAGGAGATACCCACCCTTTCCTACTGGAGTGTGTAAGATCCAGGTCTGAAACTGTCTGCATCCATTTCTCTTTTCTTGAAGAATTAAGCTGATTAATTAGCATCTCTGCTGTCTCCTCATTGTCGGAATCTTTGTATCGTCTATAGAGCTCCTCGGTATCTTTATCCCAACCTGGGATATATTCCTTTCTGTGACCACGGGGGATAACTTCCTTCCGGCTTTCATGAGGAGACCTACAAATCTAAAATAGTTTGAAGGCAGAGGTTGAATTCTGTTTGATGTTTTGATCAATGTAGGCACGGAAATTTCCCAGTTTGCTTTTTGAAGATTCCATCGAGGGAGGAAGGGCTTCAAGGTCACAGGGATGAAATGTCCTACCTCGAGAATGATTGGGTGGTGCTGGCTTTTGGGAAATTTTTTAAGAATCCTCTTCGTAGTAGGGATTGGCTTGTTATTGTAGTCAGTGATACAAAGCATAAGTCAGGATTTGTTCTGGTATTCCATCTGCCTGAAGAAAAAGATCCATTTTGTTTTGGGTTATAAATAAGGTGAAGAAGGTTATTATTTGCCCATTCTTCTAGCAGCTCACCATTGGTGTTGGTTGTAGTGTATCCCCAAGAATTATGGTGCGAGTTGAAGTCTCTACAATATAATGAGGGGTGAGAAGTGTTTGGGAGGACTTGCTGGTTCCAATCTTGTGAGGGAGGCTTGTATATATTATGAATTGTTTAAAGAATCATGTGTTATTGAGATAGAGTGGGAGCTTTTGATTGAAGGAAATGAATTATTGGATATATCTTTTTTGGTCAGAATTGCCAAGCCGTATCTAGGGTGGTTTTCATATGCAATCAGATCATAGTTTGGGATTTTAAGACGACTGATATGGTCTTCAGAAATGTGGGTTTCCTGGAGAGCAAAATATGTCAATATTCTCATCTCTTCCCATTCTTTCCAGAATCTCAGTCTTTGCTGTGGTTAGGCCTTCTACATTAATTTGGCAGATTCTGAGGAAGCGGCCAAGAGGTTTTTTGATTGTTTTGGACTGTTGAGGTGTTGCACGGTTGTCCAGGCCCGCGTAGTAACTTTCCATTTGTGTAGCCTATAGCCCCCCACCTCTGTAGCCATGGCGCGGTTTTCCCCCTTAGTACCGCCGGAGTTAACTGTGTAAGATAAGTTTGACATATCATGGGTGCATAATTTAGCTGCTGTATTGTCCGTGAGGTCAAGAGACGTACGGACCTCTATGGTGTTGATCTCTTGGCGGAACGACTTGGAAGTCGGACAAGATTCCGACAAGTTATGATAATGATCATAATGATGATGAGCGCGTTGATGACCAAAATCTATCCGTGAACTTCAGACAGACAGAATAAGGCAATTATATAAGTAGATAGTACTGGGAAGGTTTCTGAAAAATAATTTCGTGAATATCTTGAATATCCTTAGAGTTATTTGCAGATTTGTATATTTAACTCGCAAGCAGCGCCACCATTGCGACTATGATAACAAGTTTTTTTTATCTATAAGTTTTATTATCACTAAGTTTATTATCTTAAGATTATTTATCAAAAGTAAGATTATCTCAGGATGACACGGCAATTTATTTGAGACAAGAATAATGATACAATTCCAAGGCAAAGATACTATTCCTTCAACTTTCAATTACCGAGGGAACCAATTAATATTGATTTTATACAACTTATCGAGTATTTTTCAAGGGACCGGGAAAAAATGTTCACTAGATAAAACGATGATTTTGTAATGTAGAAAATTAGGAAAGACAAAATTCAGGATGACACGGCACACAGGGGACCGGGAAAAAATGTTCACTTTATCGAGAGATTCAAAATTTACGAGTTTCAAAATTATCAAATATATCTATTATTTTTTAAATAAGTTTATAGAGAATTGTTTAAACAAATATTCGTTAGACAAACCTTTACTCGGGTAAAACCCGGGCGAAGCCGGGTACATCTGCTAGTTTGAAATAAAATATTCTTTGCAATTTCATTTGCAAATTTTCTACTTTCACTCGCAAGCAGCGCCTCTCGCGGTTTCTGGTGAAATTATATTTATAAATTGTAACAATGCTTAAAATGTGTTCCAGGTATAATAAATTTAATTTGAAAATTTAGTAATATAATATTCCAATGACGTAAAAAAACTTGGTATTTTAATATTAATATATTTCAAAGAAAAATATTGTAACGTTTTTTGTGTTATATGTTAAAATGTAATGCTAAAATATATTTTTACATTGCTAATTTAATTTGTTGTTGTTTTATAATAATGAAGATGCAAATTACGTTGTTGTTGTTTATTATCGTTTGTTTATATAAAAATTACATTGTATGTGCTGATGATAACAAAAATGAATTTTTAAATCTTATATATATAAAATTGAATGTCTGTCAGTTTGTCTGTACTCTATAGATTCAAAAACCATACATCCAATCGCCGTGAAATTTTGGGATATTATTAGGTATATCACCGGGAA